CGGATTTTGGGGACCTGCAGAACCCATTGGTATCGCTCTGGAACAGCAGTGGAAAACCCATCATTTACAGATGATGAAAACAAAACCATTTATATAGGATTTTCCATGGGATTTTCGTTTGCCAGAGGGTAAGTCCAACTTTGATTTCATGATATTTGGTTAGATGTCCCATGAAATTTCCATGAATATTCTCATTAAATCACCAAATGTTTGACTAAGTTCCACAAACATCCGAAATCCCCACCATACCATTCATATCCTTATCATATCCCCCAAAAGTCCCATATGTTCCCATATATGTCTCATGTTTTGCCATGAATATGCCATGTTTTCTCCAGATTTTTCGGAGGTGAAGTGCTTTTGGGTGAGGTGCCCACCGTGACCCCTAAGCTGTCCAAAGCCTTCCGAACCATCATGACGTGGGCGGATGAGCACCTTGAATCATGGTATTTTTCAATTTTTTTGGTGGAAAAACCATGAAAAATTTGGGCAAATTGATGATTTTTGAAAAAGGGATGAATGTTCCCATGTTTGGCGGAGGCAAAACCGTGGAAAACGATGGACAATTGATGAAAGAATGTGGGTGTTCGCATGTTTTTGCGTAAAAAAACAATGATTTGTTACCTTAGTGGCTGATGGTCTCTCAGTTGTTCCCAAAATTTGCTGCAGATGGTTGGTATTAAAATCCATTTGGTTATCCATCATTGAGGAGATCTATGGGTGGGACTCTGGGACTGTATTCTGTGCAAATAATAGACTATCTTGTATGTTCATGATACCCCATTTCGGCCACTATCTGGATTTGGGTTTTTTCTATGATGAGGATTTAGAAGGTTCATTTTTTGGTGTCACTAGGGTGCCATACTCACCATGGGTACCGGTCAAAACCGGTGCTACTTCGGACTTCGGACATTGCCAAATGGATAGTTTGAGGTTTTGCCCATGCGGTTTTTTCCGAAAATGGTTTGTCCCAATGTTTTTCATTTTCAATTTGTTGGGATCTGTTTACATCCCTTTAACATCCCTTTAACGTTTTGTGTGCATCAATGTGCATCATAAGTTGGATCAGTTTCCAGATATAACCTATTCAAAACATGTTTAACCAGATATAACCAGATTTTATTTTGTAGATGATGAGGATGGGAATATTCATGTTTTTTTCGCCATTTAATAGCCATTTAAACCTCATGAAAACAGACAATTTGGATGATGTTTCTGCCCTGCCAGGTACCGCACCTTGCAGGTGCGTTGCAATGCAGAGACGCCATGTGACGCGCAACGAGCGAAGCTCTTCGGAGCTGAGGGAATTGGCTTGGTTCGCATCTTGGATGAATTCCTTGGATGATCATGGAAAAAATCATGCTTTTTTCATCGGGGTTGAGAAAGGTTTCGAAAAGGTTAATGGTGAATGATGGTTCATATATGGTCTATCTGGTTAACGGTTTTATAACCATTGTGTAATTCCACCATTGAGAGCTGAACAATGGTTACTTTAGAGCTTCGCACAGCGGCACCACAAGAGCTGCCAGAAGGCCAGATAGGATCCAAGTAATCAAAGTACCACAAAATTGGCATATGTTTGGCCTTATTTAATGGCCCTGTCGGGTTTTAAGTTTTTTTCCAACCCATTAAAACCAGGGCCTTGGTAAATGGTTTCAAATGATGGCTTTCGGAACGGGGAAAAACGATTTGAAAAAGGTGCTTAGAAATGAAGCCACCAACCAGGAGACTTAAATCAATTAAACCCAAATAATCCCATAAGATATCCCAAGATATCAAAAGCTGAGGGTCTCAAATTTTCATGAAACTACACATAGACTCTGTCGCTGTGAGTGATGGTGGATGGTGGATGCCCTGAGGCACCGAGCACATGTTCTTTGAAGGTGAGCGGATTGTGGCTATGCGACAGATGATTTTGGCGGCAGATGCTTGGTGGAGCTAATGTTAAAGTGAAGTTGATGATAAGTGATGATAAATGTTTACTAAGTGCAAGATCTCTTTATGTTCCATTTTTACTGATTAAAAGCATGTGTGGGGTGCTCATTTAATTATCATTGTTTAGTATGAGCTTGTGAATTGGTGTGTGGAAAAAGGTTGAAGCAGATGTCTAATGCTTTGCTTCATGTGAAAACTCGTTCTAGCTCTGAAAAAACTGAGTGCTTTGATGGTTGGCTTCGTTTGAAAATTTCCAGAAAACCATCTTAAATGGAGCCACATTGGATTCGATATCAATCTGGTCATGTTCAGCGAAACAGGATTCGACTCTGCTACGGGGTTTCCCATGAGATTTGGGGGTGAAAAGCACCAGAAGCTTAGTGGTCCTTGCTAGTATGTGCACCAGATTTGGGGCTCCTCCATGGGAAAGGCTCAACGGTCTCCTTTTCGGTCCAGGACGAAAAGGAGCGGCAAAGTGCTCTGCAGAAGCTCCTGGAGATGCAACGCCAAGATTTTGCGGACGCCTGGTTGGAAAATGTTGGAATTCCGGGTTGGATTTTCATGGAGCTTTTAAGCGCCCACCAAAAACGGGGGAATGTTTTTGTTTGTTCCACTTTGTTCCACATCAAGTGGGCAGATGGGCAGATGTATGATAATGTGTTGTAAATACCAGTTCGATCTTGTTGCGAAACCTCCTGAGGTTTGCTGATGAATATGCCTACTCTTGCAGGTTCCGTCATGTTGCACAATCTATATTGTTTTCCCGAAGTTGCCCGAAGCATCCTAAAACTGGATAGCAACCCCTAAGTGACCAGTAGCTTTCAGAGGCTATTCCCAAATCTTCTCAAAAAATCTCCAATCTCCATCCCCATTTGCGGAATGAATTCATCTCCCACCAGTAGCAACAGCTGGTGACAGGATCCGTTGGTTCAAAGATCTGAATGGTTATGGTTGGTTATGGTTGGCCTGATAACCAACGCCAAGCTGAATGATACCACTCAGACAAAAATGTCCATTTGTTGGTCAATAGCCTCAATGATAGCCAGATTAAACTTGGTGAAGAACCCCCAAATATCAAATAATGGTAACTCTAACGCAGCAACATATTTCCAGTGTCTTTAGAAAAAGGAACGCATGCCTGAATGGTAGCCCCACATATTTGAGTAACTCCAATCCCTTTTCCATGGTTCCCAAATTACCAGCGAAAATAGTTTAAAAAAAAAAAAGAGAAAAAGACATGTCAGTTGGCTAATAACCTAAAAATCTAAACCATAGATAGCAACAACCACCATGACACAACTCTTTTTACATCCCGATAGCCCTAATTTTTTCATAGCCATTGAGCTAAGTTTGATCAACAAAGCCCCAGACCAAGGACTCCAACCGTCCTAAGTCCATGGAATTTATAGGACCCCTAATCATGGTACCGCTATTCCCATAAGATGTCGAAACCATCGTGGGGTTTCCTATCGGAGTGTGGGAGGGTCCCTGTATCCACTTTCCCATTGGTGTATGATTTTCGAAAAATAGCTGTAACTCCAACCAACCAACTATGGGGAACCAACTATATCTCTAGAAGTGGTATGGGAGTCGACCATGGTGACAGCGTATCATGGGATTGGGGTTCCCTTGTTTATGTGGTGCTCACCAGTGATAAGTTGGTCTTGTGGGCCTCACCTTGAATAAATTCCACCTTCCCATTGCTTCACAATGTTCAAAAATAGCTATAACTGAAAAACAATTGATCATTTCCCAACATTTCCCAACATCAAGCTATTTCCAAGCTACTTCCAAGCTATTTCCCAAGGACCTCTTTGAGATTTTCCCTTCCGTCACGGTGCGTCTTCTGGACGCGCCGCTGCACGAGTTCCTCCCCAGCACGGAGGCAGGGCTGGCGGCCGTCGCGGCCGTGGGCGCCAGGGTTCCGGCGTCGCTGGAGCGGGTGAAACGACGAACCGCGGAGCTGAGGGAAGCGAATCCCATGCTGGGATGCTTGGTGAAGTCATGATAGTTACTGTATATATCATTTTTATGTCATTTTCATATCATATATATATATATATATATATGGGTAAATTATAGTGAAATATTATAATTTACCCAGATATATATATATATATTGTTTCTCTGTTGTTTTTTCTATTGTTTATGTATTCTGTTTTGTTGTGGATTGTTTATCTAGTCATGATGAAAATATGTTGACAATGAAAGGGGAGTCAACAAATATCAAATGGAAAAATGATGAAAAATGAATTCAATGAATTGACTATGAAAATAACGGGTGCGGTGTGATGGAAAATCTATAGAACATCTAAGTTTGATGATGATCTTGGATTTGTTCCTTGTTGTTTGTCAGGTTGGTTCAAGTGTGTTGTTTACAGGTGTTTTGAGATATTTTTATGGTGCTTGGATTTGATACATAGGGACAGTCCATTAGAAAAATGGGGTGCAGTAAGTGCAGTATTGGACAAAGATTGATCTGGTGGTTTGGAACACGACTTTTGTTTTCCATTTCACATATGGGATGTCATCCTTCCCATTGACTTTCATAGTTTTCAAGATGGTAGGTACACCACCAACCAGTGATGTTTGGTGATGAAAATATGTGAGTATAGTTGGCCCAAGGGGTATCAAGAAATGCGGGAACATCTTGAAAGTGGGGAACACAAGCAACAAATCCGGATTGGAGGAAGGTGCCCCAATGGTTTTAGAGGCTTGGCACGTACAGAAATGGTATGCGGACTGCTGTCCGCTTCTAGAAATCTGACATCGAATCATATCGAAACAATCCATGCCTCGCAATTTTGTTGATTATTGCGACCTACATTTTCCCATAAAATGTTTCATGAAACCAATAAGCCACGTTTGAGTCTCAAATTCACTGATTATTGCCCCTATTTTGCCCATAAATCTTCGAATTGTACCGTCTGGGTATGGATCAAAACCCATTTATACTGACGCCATATTTGTGGGGGATGAACGTCCATAGCTGCTAACTATTTTAATGGGTACAAGTTTTTAAACCCAAATATCCATACGTCTTGAATATATGCATACAATTGTAATCAATTGTATACAATACCCATTTATAAGAGGAAATATGCCATTTATATAGCTGGGTTGTAATACGTTTATTGGTTATGTTTTTTTTTGGAAGTGAGTTTTTAGCTGGTTAAATCAATCCATTGAGGTTTGACAATTCTCTCCATTTTCCCCAGATTTTCTCAGGTATGTTCCATATTCCCCCAAGAATTTTCCCAGAAAATCATGGAACATCAGCTTCGGACAGCCCCAAGACTGTCCATATTTACCAGATCTTTCCCAGAAATCAAGCCATCCACCGTCTTCCCTATGATCTCCCTAGGTCATCGTGGCTGTCGTTTGGCCATCACCTACCCTGAGATCTGCCAGATGCAAACGCGCGCCATCTTCGAAGCCGTGGCTAGTCTGGGACGACGCCAACAGGTGCCCACAGTGGAGGTGATGGTGCCCTTGGTGTCACATGTGGAGGAGCCACTCGGGGTGGATTGGATTGATTTAGCTATGAAAAAATGATGGATTTTTCACCTTGAAAATGATGTGTTTAATGATGGGGGATTTGTGAAAAAACCCTCTGGTTAAATTGGTTTACATAAACAATCAAAACTGGTCATGTAAAACGGTGTAAAATGGTTGGCTATTGGGACAGGTGGATATTTCGGTGGATATTTGGTCATCAGCCCTAGGAGTTCAAGATCTTAAAACTGGTCGTGGAGAAAACGGTCCTGGCAGTGCAGCGAGAGCAAGGGATGAGCTTCAAGTATCACATTGGGGCCATGGTGGAGTTGCCGCGGGCCTGTTTGCAGGCGAAACAGGTGTTGATTGGTTGGTGGAATAGTTGGAGATGATAGATACACCTCTTGTGTCATGAAACCCTGGAAAATCCAGCATTGTTTGAAGCGCGTTGATTTCCCAGGAAAAACCACTTCAAACTTCCATTGGGGATGTTCGTTATTGCCACGTAAGTTTGCCAGCGTGTGGAGTTGGATCTTCCCATTTTTTCGAAGGAAACCAATGAAAAATCTATGAAAAATAGATGAAAATAGGGGAGCCCCAAATTCACTGCTTCATCATGTTGCCCATTTTCCATAGGCCTCGCGTTGCGAGGCCGAGAAGTTGGCGCAGTCTGCGGAGTTCTTCAGCTTCGGCAGCAACGATCTGACACAAAGCACCTATGGACTCAGCCGGGATGATGCTTCGACCTTCTTGCCGCCTGGATCTCTGAAAAAAATGATGATTTTTGACTGGAACATATAATATCATATAATGGAAACTGATGTTAGATGAGGTTGAAAAAAAGGAGAAAAGATGCTGTTCGATGGAATTTCTTAGATCCGTTGTGACTGATTTACCTGTTAAAAATGACTACAGCCATGTTAGATGAGGTTACATTCTGTTGCGCACATATTGCAAGGACAGAAAAACTAGTGTCATGTGTCATGCATTTCATAGTTATTTCTAAGTTGAGCCAGGCCGTGTTTAAGGCCCGCATTCTCAACACACCCAAGGCCCCTATCCTAAAAATGCGAAAAACCCTCCGGTAATCAAACGTGGCAACGGGGAATCCCCTAGAAATGAGGTGTCAGACGCTGGGAAAAACGATGGGAAAAACATCAACGGTGGAGTTTGAAATTTTGCCATGTTTGATCACCGGATGGTATCTATATAGTCTATATCCCATTTTGTTTGGGTAAAACCATGTAAAACCTAAACTTCAATATTTCTCTGTGAAAGGCTGCCTGCAGTTGCTACCAGTTGGACGCAAATGTTTACTTGTGAAATCTCAAAACACGTCGATGACTTGCACTAAAACTGTCCGGTTGCTGTTCCGCTTTCCGCTTTTCCAGTTGTTTTGAGTGTTTAAAAACATAAAAAGTATCTTTATTTCATAGCTGAATGACAGCTGCCATGCTTAAGAAAAACTTGGCAGTTGTCAATTTTGCTGCGGTTATAAAAATACATTCACTCCATGTTTTCGCTCAAAACCCATCAAAAAATCCTGGCAGTTGCCATTTTTGCAGCGATTCCTGAGGCCAAACCTCACTTTAATCCATATTATAATGGGATAGATATCTCAACGATTATTGAGGTTTAATAAACCAATCAGGATATTGGGTCGTTTTTTTGGGATATATCCTTTCAAAAATCCCAGAATCGTGTGGGATGTATAAATCCTATTACCTATGAATCCCCATGATTGCTATAAAGATCATGAAAAACCTTATGATATTTGGGATACATACCATTGTTTACCCTCTGGTAAACTAACATAGCTATGGAAAGTTTCCATTTTTTATGAGCAAATCAACTATAAATGGCCATTTTCAATAGCTATGTTTGTTTACCACAGTGTATGTGTTTTACCAAAAAAAACTAACAAGAAAACAATGATATCATATGATATCCTCCATGTTTTCCCCATGTTTTGCGAGGCCCGACTACAAGGCCAAGGGGATTCTGGAGCAAGATCCCTTCGTGACTCTGGACACTGAGGGTGTTGGGGAACTGATTTTACTGGCCGTGGAGCGGGGCCGCAAAGCTCGAAGTGGCATGAAGATGGGTATTTGTGGTGAGTGCCTTGGGTGAAACAGCCATTTCTCTGGTAAAAATTGGTGAAAACTGGTGAAAATGGATGAACATGGGTGAAACTGCAACCTCCTCAACCTGCCAAAGTTAATGATAAACATAGTGACAACAAGGACAAGAAGAAGAACAAGGAAGAACAATACTCCTCATCTAAACGTTCCTTAAACCATCCTACCATCCTCCCATCCTCTAACAGGCATGGTGGTGACCCCGGCAGCATCGATTTCTGCAACCGCATCGGTTTGGACTACGTGAGCTGCTCGCCGTGGCGCGCCCCCCTGGCACGCCTCGCTGCGGCACAGGCGGCGCTGCGCGCTGACCACGGCGACGGCGACAGGGCGAAACGCAACGGCACAAGGACGACGACGACGATGACGACGACGACGACGCAGCCGCGGCTGGGGCGATGCAGGTCGTGGTGACAAGGAGCTGCTGATGTCGTGGTGCTGTTGAGCTGTGACTACTGTAGATATGACTTATAGAATTCGAAGTTGCTTTTGTGCCATGTATTAACAAACATTGTAATACACAAACATACACATTACATTATATGGTGCTTGACAATCGGTTCAGAGACCAACGTCACGTAATCATACGGAATCCAGCTTTGAAGTTCTTGGTTTTTCTGTCGGAAAGCCCTGGACAAGGCCGAAGAACACTGAATTCTTTACAAGTGAAGATTGCGGCCTTTTTGTTTGAGAGGCACATTTTCTCAAACTTGTCACTGCTGAAAATTCATAAAGCCTGGATGAAAGCAGTGCCGAGTAGACCAGTTTTGGGTGTTCGTGATGACACCTGTAATGCGCAATGCAAGACTTCCCATTGTCCATCATAGGACGCCTTTGAAGGATTTAGAGTCTTTATGTCATTAAAAAATTTGTTATTTGGGTGGTTTCGGCTCTGGGATCCAAGATTTGGGGCCTGAAAACTGGTTGCAAACCTTACACGGTGAAATCCATCATCACCTTCTCATTGCGATAGCCGATCTTTAAGGGGAAGATCACCGATTTTCAGACACTCAACTCATATTTTTGGGTTGTGGGTTATGTTGAGTAAGATTAATTTCCGGTCTGACCTCACTCTGTTAACAACATGGTTGATGAGCTGAAGCCGCTCATGCATTGGAACTTCCATCGCTCAGTGACTGGAGTTCACCCTGCTGCAGCTGCACACGCGGCAAAAGCGAGCCGCAGATCAGTTGATGTAACCGGGTGTATTGGGATGTGAGTTGTTTGAAAAAATGGCAGATACATGACATGATACATGAAGATAGCCCATTTCATGGCCATTTCAATTTAATACTGTGGATGGAGGAACTATTGGTAACTATGACACACTGTAAATAATGGGACTATAGCTAAACCATCTACCAACGCAGGATTTCTTCCATCCACAGTACGTTTTAACGTGGAAAAGAATGATGAACATGACATGATCGGTGGTGAAGGTTCACCAGGCAATTTCCAGATCCAGTTGGAGAAACCGTGGAATTTCTGCCCAGAGATGGTCCTGCAGCATTAACAAGCGGGGAATAATCTTCAGTGAATTTTCTCCTCCAGATTTCCAGTGATTCCAGAATTCTGCAGCATGGCGTTCTGCAGTGTTTCTCAACTTCTCCATGTGACTAAAATCCCAGTCGATGAAGGCACAGGTGTCAAAGCAAGCGGGTCTTTGAGGCGGCGATTGGGTCTCAGGGGGATGGAGCCCAACGTATTCAGAAAGGTGATGTTTCAGAGTTTCATGGCACGTTGGCACGTTCCACCGTGAGTCCCAAATATACCCTCCAGTATCCTCCAGTAATCAGTCACATCGCTGGAAAATCAGCCATCATTCGATGGTTTTACCGTAACAAAACCCGGTTTTTTATTTCGGGGATTTTCCAGCCAGCCACGGTGAAGCGTAGAAGTGACGAGTCCTGGTCACCGGTGGGGGTTGGTTTAGACCCAAAAATTGATCACCCGTCGTCACCATGACCATAATCCACATCATGGCAAACCATGTAAGCCATGTAAGCCATGTAAACCGATCAAGAATGATTTACATGATGGCAACGATAACAGTAATAATAAGGACAGTTAGTGACAGTTATACTATGTTATACTTATATAAATATATCATCTTATATCATCTTATATCATGTATATAATATATACATATATATATATATAAATTACATAGATTTACATAGCCACATCATCCTTTTCAGGTCCCATAATCGTCCCATCCCTGTCCGGCGCTTTTTTTTTAGTGGCTCAGCCGATGGCGAGCAAAGCTTGGGCCGCGGAAACGGATCCGTCGGATCCGGACACGTCGTGGGATGGATCCGATGGATCTCATGGCATGGGATGGGACCAGGCGACCAGGGGAGGCCACCAGGGGAGGTTACGAAATGTTACCGAAAAGCTGAGATTTGATGAGATTTCTGTGGGATTTCCAGTCAGGATATGATGTCAACCTTTTTCGTCCTTCCAGTTTCCACAGATACTCTATTTGAGACGGGGATTAGAAACAAACACAGTTTTCAATTTGTTGATCAATGAGCGACCAAGAAATTGTGGTCCGTGGGCGGCCTTTACACATCAGCCATGAATCTGCGAGGAAAAGATCACGACTCACGACAATCCCCAAATCACCATGACTGTTATAAACATTCTGAAAATCTCCCCCCCTTTGTTTTTATTGCTTACAACAGTCCTTGTTGTGTAGTTCTGATGTTTCAATCATTTTCAATCCCCCAATTTATGGCCACACTTGAATCCGGAACATGATGTTCTAGTGGTTGTGGGGTACCCTATTTTTATGCAAAACCATTCTAGTTTATCCCAGCGTTTATCATCATATTCCCACTTTTGATGATAAGAATTATGTTAGATTCTCATGTGTTTTGGTAAAGAGCACCATAGTTCGCTTGTTCTTAGCCAACAGTAGGGAACCATAAGTATTTCCTGACTATATCTATGTCATGTTGTTTTTGTTGGTACCCCAAGAAAGCCTCCGGTATTTTTTCCGGAACATGGCCCGCATCACAAGTTACCACAGGGTATTATTTACAATTCAAGTTCCATCGAATTATGTATGGAATTATGTATACTTATGTTGTTTATAGCTGGTAAATAGACCATTGTTTTCATCCATTTAGTATGTCTAATCCAAGTTTATTCATGGGGCTTTGAGCCGTACCCTCTGGCATTATATGGGTAGCTTGAAGATCCCAGAGCTGGAAGTTGATGGCTGTCAAAATCATCGCCAAGCCATGGCGGATTGTACAGCAAGCCATGGCTTCCTATGACACCGGAGGGTATCATAATGATTACATGATTACTCATGAGTATTATATGGGTATTTGTTTGATTCCATCAATAGAATGATACCATCATATAGTTCCAAGAACAAAAAAACAGTAATATGACAAGATTATCATTGTAGTTCCTATTGTTTTTAATTTATTATTGCAGTTCCTATTACTATCACTTACAATGATAAAGTATGATAATTGAACTGTTGATGATCTCCTATTATCCGTCTATTTCTATCCTATTAACTAGGTATCAAAAAACATTAGTTCCTATCATGGCAACTATTGTTATCAATGGCAATGATGACACCGGAGGGTTGCCATGTGACACCGCCATGTGACACCGCAGTCACCAGGTGATTTATGATCCCATGGACTGCCAATTCTACACTTGGCAGCTGGCCATCGCACAAAATCTGGGCGGCCGCAGGTGTGGATAAAATGGAGGTCTGTGGGTTAGAACTGAATCTCATGGGTTTCAAAATGTTTCAAAAAATGAAGGTGCTAACCAGATGGTGTTTTTCATGGGCTTTCAAAATGTGTTTTTCATGAGATTGATGATATATTGATTGTTGGCAGTTACCCTCTGGTAAAGTTAAGAGGTTGCCAACTGGAAAATCGAAAAAGTTTGAGAGGTGAATCATCTACTGTATATTTCAGGGCCAGTTTACATAGCTAACTTAAGCATCCCTGGGTACAACCCATTTTTTTCGGGAATCTGTGATTGGGGTGTCATTCATATAGGGTTTATATAATAGGGATGTTCCCAAGCCACTAACATTCGTATTCATAACCCCTTGATATAAGTTATAATTAACCCAAAAAATAGCTAGATTTAATAACCCCAATAGTATCAAACATATAAGTTATAACTTTATCCCCAATAGTTCAGAATGGTGTGTTATTTACACCCCATTGTAAAACAAATATCTATGGGAAGGGGATGTGTGAAGATGCGCCGCTCACAGGACACAAGAGGACCGCCTGGCTGTGTGCCCGTGCTTAGGCACCGCCAGATGTTTCGTGATGTTTCCAGGATTTTGGTGCGAGGTTGTTGTGATTTGTTTCATGCTCTTGTTTGTAAACCTGGGGATGGTGCAGTTCTAGTTAGTGATTCATAACATTTCATAACCATTACTAGAAGTGAGATATTTTTCTGAGATATAAGTGACATATCTGGCCAAGAGCCCATCTATGCTGTTGAAAGAGGTATTTTTCTTCACGGATGCAGAGGTTTTTGTCCTTACCATGGATGCATCTGCATCTGTATCTCCATTGGATCATCCAATGATTTCACCGATCTCACCGAAGGCGATTGGAACAAGGCCTTCTTCGGACTTTGGGACGGTGCGGTCGATGACTTCGCGGCTGAAGAGGTTGGGTGGGAGATGGGAAATGATGTCGCGGCGGTTTGTTATGTTTGTTGAGATCAAAAAAAAAAAACGATGACCCTAAAGTCCATGCAACGATTTTCTAGATGCTAAGTTTTTTTTTTTCGAAATCTGAAAGTTGAAACTATCTATGTATATCTCTGGTTCTTCCCCCTTTGGCACTTTTGTCACAGTTGTTTTGCTCAAACCCTTGTGGCAATTGATGGATATCTTCTCTGATGTATTCTGCTCCCAATTTTCGGTGTCCCCAATAAAAAAGATGTCCAAAAAGTGTGTTTCACCAGGATATGAATCAAGAATAATCCATATATACCCTCTGGTAAACTAACATAACTATGGAAAATCACCATTTTGAATGGGTAAATCAACTATTTCTATGGCCATTTTCAATAGCTTTTTGTATGTTTACCAAAGGGTACATGATGTTTCTCAGATTTTTTTTCCAGGTCCAACCTTTAACCCTGGAAGGTGCGCAAGCTGTTCCTCTCCAACTTGATTGCCTCGTCCGCATGGGCAAAGGTCGGACCAGACTGAGATTGATGAGTTGTAATGGGCAATGGAACTTCCACTGATATAGTATCTATGTGTAAATATATATATTTATATATATACAAAAATGTATGCACAATCATATACATATATATATATGTATAATATATATACATGTATGTATGTAATTATATGTACCCTCTGGCAATGTCACCTTTTGCTCTTGAAAATCACCATATTGTAAATCGCTAAACCGCAAATCATCGAACTATTTCTGGGCCATGGCTTATTTTGATGTTGAATTACCAGAGGATTTGGTCTGTAATGCAGAAGTATATCGTCATAGATAATCATCATAGATATGATATGTACACACAGATATAGATAACCTCTGGTAAACTAACAGTTTGCGAACGAAAATAGCTGTGTAAAAACGTTGATTCAACGAATTGACCTATCAAAAGATGGTGCATCTTTCATCATTTCCATCGTTTTTTGTGTGTAGCCATGACGCCTGGGATCCCCTGGGGATCCAGGTGTCAAACTCGAATCCTGATCCGGAAGCGCTGCAGGACTGGTAATCCAACATGGCTGGGATGCATTGGAATCCCTCATGACGACTTGATAACGAAGGTTCTTTTCGATGACCAAAAAGATGATGGGAGGTCCTAATGACCAGTGGTAAAAACATGTAAAAACGTACATAAATGATGGAATGATGGATAAGCATGGAAAACCACCATACTAACCATTCATGACAACTGGTTATTACAGGTGATATTTCCATCCTCGCCATATCTCGCCATATCTCGTCGATCTGTGTCAGGACTGCCTGCGCGAAGCCATTCAGACCACCGACCAGGAAGTCATCCGCCTCTGTCGCGACACGCAGAAGCTCGGAGATGGAGCTGCTGGAGATATCTGGAGATGGAGATGGTGGGTGGAGAGTCACCGAAAATTCGAAAAATTAGTAAAATTCTCTGGTTGGTGGTTTCAAACATTTGTTATTTTCCATAATTTATGGGACAATTCTTCCCATTGACTTTCAGATGTTTCAAGATGGTTATTGCACCACCAACCAGTTGTGTAAATATGGCTTTTTTGAAGGCTATCACTTAGCTCTAAAATCCGATAAGTGGTATCTATAAGTGGTAGCTATTTTGCTGTTCTCGGGGTTTGTCAAGGGGTTTGACCCTGCCAGGCAAAGCAAGGCTCATATTTGATCCCAAATCGTGGAGGTAGATCAAATATGGCAATCAATATGGAAATGAACCACTGGTGAATATATGGTTAATATATGGTTAATATTTGGTTAATATATGGTTAATATATGATGAATATATGGTTAATATATGCGCCGTGAGAATGACATGAACGGCCATAGGTGACATATTATCTGGGTAAATTTGATCAAGACCTCACTGCAACCGAGCCCTGGAATCATGGTTTATGTTAGGGAAATCATCCCCAAATGGCCGCAAGATTCAGGTTAGTGAAATATTATAATTTACCCAGATATATGGTTAAACCACCAATATTAACCATCAATATTAACCAGATATTAACCATATATAAATGTGTCATCAATGATAAAAATAGATGGAAATGATTGCCGACTATGATCATCGTGATCCATTGAAACTATCAATGACTAAATCTCATCGTTTTTTCTTAAGATGTCCTCCATTTAGCATTTTCCCATGAGTTTCCAAAAATCACTGATTTTTACCCTCTGGTAAACTAACATAGCTATGGAAAATCACCATTTTTCGTGGGAAAATCCACTATGAATCACCATTTTCAATAGCTATGTTAAATTACCAGAGGGTATCGTCCTTCTTTACGAAATCTCCGTTGCGTTTTCCACTGAGGAATCACTACTCCAGCTGCACGGGTGTTATGACCCTCTGGACCGGTACCATCTTGACGGCGCCTCACTACGACTTGGATCATGAGGATATCGGGGGCTTCCATCGGGGGATCTCCAAAATGGATGGTTTACAATGGAAAAACCTATTCAATTGATTTAGGGATACCCTCATCTTAGGAAACCTTCATAAAAAAGGAGATCTGTTCAAATAGTGGTGGAAACCCAATGCCATAAACAACTACCATGACTGGGGATGGTTGGAATATATCATATATCCCGTGAAAAAAAATCTGATGGAATGGAATGGGATGGAATGGGGATGGTGTATGGTATTATTTACGAATCCCAGGATCTTGGGATCTTGGCACTAGCAACGACTTGGCGACTTATGGGGAGCCACCGGGTGGCTCAACATCCACCAATCAACCACTGGTTTGTTGTGGTGTGTATGTGTATATATATATATATGTATATAATATATAATTATATATAATATATGATATATATATATGTATGTATTGTGGATGTGGTGATTTCAGCAGATGTTCATATAATGGCCATGTGTGATTCATTGATGATACTCCCACTAGATGCCTCAGGTAAAGAAAAGGAAACAACCAGAAGAACAAGATTATTATGGCCATATATATTATAAAATCAAGTGCTCCCCCTATATTGGTATATCTATATAAAGATAATGTGATCATGGTCATTTCATGACATTTTGTTTTTTGATATGGCCCTTTTTGACCCATACTCAACTCATCAGATCTCTGCACTGAGGTGGCTCATGTGGGCGATTCCCGTGCCACCCTTGGCTACGTGGAGGCGACGAATAAAACCGTGTTTTCATCCAGAATTTTTTTGAGGTACCCTCTAGTAATTTAACGTAGCTACTGAAAATGGACCATTTATAGATGATTTACCTGTTTTAAATGGTGATTTTCCATAGTTATGTTAGTTTACCAGAGGGTAAAGCCTGGAATGTTGTGGATTTTACGGATTTGGTTATGGATTTAACACGGATTGATGAAGTTTTTGTTTGGTCAATTTTTGATATACCCAGTTACTACCCATTTACTTAGAAAATAGAATGATCATCGCAGTTGAAAGGACACTCCTCAAAAATGGCCTTGGATGTGTTTTGAACTTGGGACACTGCCTGCTTCACTCTTGAGTTTCCTGCTGCGCAAAGCCCATGCATTTGGTGGGTCACAATTTTTAGCCTACATGTGCCTGTCTGCGGAACTTCTTCACAGGGATTAGTGAGTGCTAGACTCTAGGGCCCTTGTTTGCGGTTTTCCCCTTAAACAATGAGTAACCCATGTGTCATTGTGGTGATTTGGGGGATGGTTTCTTTGTGTTTTACCCACATCCCATACCCCTAATGTTTGATGAAAAACCTCGAAGGTTTGATGAAATTTCTTGGATCCATGCAGATTTCCGCAGGATGGCCTAGTGGGATATGAACAGCTGACCTCCGACCACAAGTGACCTGGGCTGGGAATGGTCCAACAAAATGCTGCTAGAGCGAGGCAAGTTTTGCTTGGGAAAAAAAAAAACATTGAAGGCCAGGCAGTGAGAAGCTGGTTGGTGGTTTGGAACATGACTGGATTATGACTTTCCATTCAGTTGGGAATGTCATATTCCCAACTGACTTTCACTCCATCATTTTTCAGAGGGGTAGGTTGAAACCACCAGATAGTTACCCTCTGGTAAACATCCAAAAAACGATGGAAAATCACGATTTTCAACAGGTAAATCCACTATAAATCCACTATTTTCAAGCGAGTTGCAAGCGGTTTTGAGGGCCAATGGTATGCCGTTATGGGATGCCGATCATATCATCCCATCTCCCATGATGTGATGTGGAATTTCACCAATCGATGGTCCCATTTTTTTATGGTTGATGATTGTTATTGGGACCATAGATTGGGACATAGAAACTATATTGAAACTATTATATTATATAACTACCCTCATTGGTATTGTTAAACATTAAACGTAAAATAAAACTACATTGTGATGGTGGATTCACATGGATTAACCTATGATATTGTTGCTACATACTGTGCCTTGGGGCGATCTTAAATATTATGGTCGGAAATTCCTTACATCCAGCCAGATTTGCCCGACGAGCGGCGGCGCATCGAGGACAATTGCTGATGGTCTCGGAACATGCTCTGAGAATCGTGGCAATGAGAAACTCTCTATAAATGGAGGTTTCAATGGGAAAATCGTCTATAAATATTATACATGGATATGTTTCTTCTACAGCAATCCTTTTCATCCTTTCCTGGAATATTCGACTGCAGTAGCCAAAAGATTCAGAAAAGCTTCACAATTTCACTGGATTTTACCAACTTCTATATCTTTACTGGGGTGCCAAAAACATTACACCGCCACCCTGGCGGTGCAAGGAGGCAGGAGGCATCGTGGCCTTGCGAAATCAGTGACTCGTCGGGGGGGTGATCCGCAGTCGTGACATGGGGGTGGCATGGGCGATATAATGGGTATATTATGATGGTAAAATGGTGGTATCATAGAGGACGTAATGGTGATATAAGGGGTCTATCATGGGGATATTATGGTGATATTGGGGTGAAAATTGGTTTATCATAGAGGATGTCATGGTGACATAATGCGGGTATCGAAGCAGAACCTCTGCACAAACAGGGCCTTGGGCCTGGGAGGGGGCATTAGGTCAATCAGGTCGAGAGGCGGGGGTAGGTAAACATTAAGACCCGAAATCAAGTAGTAGGAACACATAGGAACACCCTATAATCATGTTACATCGATGGAAAAACACGTATTTGAAACCAGCTGAAGGGAATACACGAGGGCAACTATTCTGACACCAGCACGATCAAGGCATCCTTTCTTCTGTGCCTGCTTCAAACCCCTGCGAGAGAGACATATGCGAGGGAAGGGCGCCAAATGAGGCAAAAAACGAGCGCAAAGAATGACAAATCCCCAATTTGTGAATCTGTTTTATGCTTTTCCATTAATATACCCATTAATATCATTATATACCCATTATATGGTAATTATCATTATAATAGATATACTCAGTATATTAATATCCCATTCCCATCTTTTCCCTTGGTTCGATCCTTGCGTTGGTAGCATCCGTATGGCAGTTGCCTGCTAGCAGTTGCCAATGTTTACTGATAAAGCGTCAAACTAAGCGTACCTCATGATGGCCATGAAAGATACCCAGGTTGGTCATGGCAAATAACGAATGTTTACTACCTGATCATAAAAAATATGGTTAGAATGAATGGTATACAAATTATACTGGCTGGTGGTTTGGAACGGTTTTTTTCCATTCAGTTGGGAATGTCATATCCCAACTGACGAAGTCATATTTTTCAGAGGGCTAGGTGGCTCAACCACCAACCAGTTTAAATGGTTACTACCAACAATGGAAATTCAGTAATGGGAACCATTAATAGTATATATGTTCATGGCTGATTTCTCTGTGTCCCACTGGGTCCCAGGGCTGCGTTTCTCCGTGGCGGCGACTTCGAAGAACGCAAGGCACGAGGCGAAACACCCAAAGGGCTGCAGTATTCGCGCGCCTTCGGCGGCAAGGACCGCTGGGTTGGGGTTGGTGATACGAATGAAAAATGATGAAAAATGATGGAATATGAATGGAATACGAATAGAAAATGAATCTGTAAACGATGAACTTTCGCGGCCTGTTTGATTACCAGAGAATGAATTGATGGCGTTCTCCAAATATCTCCATCAACGGGACATAAATCCGGTGGGATGGATGAAACCCGGGGCACTCTAACATCGCCATGTTGAAAAAAGCGTCCAGGGTTTCCATAGCGGTGTTAAATTACCGGAGAGTATATATTATGCATATGTATGTGCATACAAATACATCCTGCTATCGGGCTTATGGCTCTGTAGGACCTGAAGCCCTATGGCTTGTCCAGTGTCCCAGATGTAAAGCAAGTGACCCTGGAAGCCAAGCACAAGGCCAGCGATTGAAAGCCGGAAAACCCGTTAAACAGACTGTAATGTACTGCTACCCAATTGCCAGCAATTTTCTGTAATTCAAAAACGGTAAAAGTCTGTAATGTTTTCCATTTGAATGTTTATCCAATAAATGTAAAACATAGAAAGAATTTAATGTTTATCCAATAGAATGTTTATCCAATAAATGTAAAGAAGCCGGAAAGGAATAGTGGAATTTTACAACATGTCTGAGAAAAAAAAGACAAGGGTCTGTAAGACAGTCGGATATGTTGGTATTTTGCCAAAGATGAGGACCGCAATGAGGAATTTTGCGGATGCTGGAGTTCAGTCGCAAAATGGAGAGAAATGGTGGCGGCTAACGCCAACAAATTCTTCAACATAGGGATGGAGAATCCAACTAACCAAGGATTACTATTTAAATGAGATGGAAGAAGAAATTTCCTGATTTGAGGTTGCAACTTTAAAGTTGATGCCTTGAAAATATTTGAAAATAAGAAATCACTGGGAATCACCACTAGGACCAAATGAAGCAATCCACCTGGGATCCCGTCTTAGCTTCGGGAAAATTGGGATGGGTCCATGTGCCTCTGATATTTGGGAGGATGAACATCCACGACATCCACGACTAGCATATTATAAGGGCGTTCACCAGGGCGTGTTTGATTCATAACAACATATAACAACTTATTGTAACAACGTATGCCGATGTTAGATGTTACTTCCAGACTTCAAAAACATTTGTCAACATCAGATCTAGACGGTACTGGCAAAACATCGACATGTCAACCAAGCCACATACGATTCATTGGATCGCGGTTTTAGGTCATATGTTTGTTGGGCTGAACATCGAAGAACCTCATGCAAGACCTATCTCAGAAAGACCATGAAAGACCTATCCCACTTTATCATCATCGATCATCATCGATCATCATCCTGGTCATCCTGGTTGGTGGTTTCAAACATGACTGGATTATTTCCATAATATTACTAATACATATATGGGATAGTCCATCCGAAACCCATTGGCTATTCAACCCACCAGACAATGTCATCCATGTCCGGGTGTCCGGTGAATCCACTGATAGTTCACGGTTCTTACTATGCCTATTGTGTCGACTTATCAGGTATCCAATAATGGATTTGAAGATGCGAATAACCCGAAATCTATGGTTATTGAATATATTGAATATGACATGACCAGGATAAAAATCCACAAACAGTGATCCACTATTGGATGATCACATTATTCCATGTATATATATATATGTATGTAATATTAATATATCATATATATAATATAATATATGATATGATATAATATGATAATATATATATAATATATAATAATATATAATAAAAATAACAATAGATATAATAATATATATATATTCATATTTCTTTGATGGATTATTATATTGGATAAACCCTCCCATTAATATGCGATTATGATGATTAATATCGCAAGGATAATGGAGACAAATATTGATTCATAATCCATGATTGACCCATTCATCATAAAGATATCATTCTTAGATATATTACAGTAATCCTCTGTTCAATTCGATAGTCATACGATAATCCACCATGAATATTAGAATAATCCATAGATATATGATGATTATGATGGTCAATGCGATGTTTGTGTCTATCTTATCATTAATGTATTCATTAATGTGATCTTCCGAGTCACTCCTTACTAACTTGCCCCGGGGCCCGGGGTGAATATGGGATGATGGTCGGGATGATGGTCACGATTGTGGATGATGGTCGCACCAGACTCGGCAGGTTTTAATTGTGGCCTCCGATGGGCTCTGGGACGTTTGTCCCTCTGAACGGGCAGTTCATGTGGCTCTGGACGCCGCAGATCGACACCTCGATCCAGCGCAGGCGGCTTGGTTTGGGAAGGGGGTCGAATTTTCTGGATTAAACTTTTCTGGATTAAACCATAAATATCCCATTGTTATCCCATTATCCTATATAAATATCCCATAAAAAATGGATGAATATGGTAAAATGCTGAAAATAGACATGGTAAAATGTGCGAAGACGTGGATGAATTCGGACAAATATGGATGAAAATGGATGAAGATCGGGAAGAAATGGCGGAAATGAACAGGAAATGATGGTTTTGGGGGCACATTTGTTGCGAGTTTTCCTGCTCGAAAAGGTGAGTTTGCCTTTTCCAGATGCTCTAACAAAATTGGATGATGTAAGATTATGACCAGTTGATGTATGTCCTGTACATATTGTGACATACAATAATTTCGGGAAGGGTTTTTCGGAAATATCAAAGTCAAATGGTTTGCTTGAAGTCGTAGCTTCCAGTAATCAAGCATGGTAAATGGAAACCCCCTATACCTGGAGGTTGTCATGGGAAATCTATTTATAAATGGTGGATTTTCCAGCAAAACATGTTGCAAACCCCAAAAGATTGCCACGGAAATATCGCATATCCTTTGACATGCTCAAATTTCTGCATAGGGCTAGCGTTTTTTTCATTCCAAAACCTAAAGCCGTAAAACACAAAACAATAAAAACTCTAAAACCCTAAATCCTAAAACATCACCCACCCCTAAAAATGTATTTTAGGGGGGGAGAGGTCAGGTAAAAAAAATACATTTATCGTTCTCCAAGAATTTGATTCCCCAGGACCCCCCCTAAATACATTATTTGACCGGTGGGTGTACGTTAAATGTAGGATCCATGGGCCGGGATATCCAACCCCCCCCAGGATCTTTTATTTGGGGGGGGGTGGTTTAATACATTTTACGGGTTTGGTTTTTCCAGGATCCCCGGGAATGTTTAATTTTTTTCTGGGAATAATTACCTTTCTTTGAAAAATGTATTTTAAGGGGGTTGGGTAGCCGAAAAGCACATCATTTTTGGAAAATGGAGGGAATAGATCTGGCTAAGGTAGTCATTGGTACCCCCTGCAATGCATACATTCCAGAATATTTAAGCTCAAGTATATTTCAGCATCCCCCTTGGAATTTCCTCTACAGAATCGGGAACGTTAGGTCCTGGAAAATGGTGCTTTTAACCCCCTGACTTAATAAGGGGTACCTACCCAGTGTCAACGCTTTCAATTTTATAGAGGACCTTGGGGCCTCTGATTCTATAGAGATTTCATTTTGAATACAGCACTGAGGACTTAGGGACTGCGATTCTACAGTGGGATACGTTCTCTTTGGATGTATGTCATGTTCTTCGATTTTATAGAGAAGCATTGGCAGAACCAATTTCCCACAACAATTCTTTGATCATCCTTGATCATCCTTGATCATCCTTGGTCATCCTTGTATATTTTGGAATCATTTGGAATCTTGACATATTTTTGGAAACTTTTGGATACTTTTGGGATATATTGAAGATTTGTTGGAGATCTATCATCAGGGTTTCATCAGTTATCATCAGTTATATTCAGCAAATATGTACAATTTTGACATTTCAATATCTTACAAAAGCAGCTTTTTCTTGTTTACAAACTATAAAAGTGACATTTTTCATGTTGCATTATTTTCCCGTGGTGTCTCCCCGTTGTGTCTCCCCGTTTTTGGGTCGAAGTCCTCGAGCCAGCCTTTCCGCCTTTCCGCTAAAAAAGAGCAAACGGATGGAAAAAGAGCAAAATGAAACAGAGCGACTTTCAAGATCTTTCAAGCATTTTTCACCAGTCTATGAAATTGAAGGGGTTGACAGTGAACACTTGGAGCCTTTGAACTCTATAAATTTGGGAGTGCATAAGGCAAGCTAGGCAAGAGTAACTGGAGCATTCAGGTCAGCTGTCAATGAAGGAGACTTGGGGAACCTGATTTTATAGAAGGCCAACTAACCCCCCCAACCATCTACGAGAGTGACTTGGCGGCATCGATTCTATAGAGATTGTCAACTTGAAAATACCTTGGGGTCTCTGATTCTATAGATGCATTTTCAGAAAGAGGGTCAGGGCCTCCCGGATTATCATTATAAAATTGTCAACACCAACACTCTCACTTAATTCAAAGGGGGATATTTCAGCCATTTTATGGCCCATGGGTTTCAGTAGGTTTCCCAGGAAAAAAAGATCAATTGGATTGAGGTGCAGACCCCCCCATGCTTGCATACATTTAGAAAAGTTTATGTATCCATTGGCTCTTGTCAGTGGTGCCCCCCACAAAGCATACATTTTCAGGTTCAATACCCCTACCAATAATACATTTCCAGCATCTGGCACTCATACATGCCTCATTTTGAGGGGGTACCCCCCCCCTAGTTCCCATACATTTTTGGCAAAAAGTGAGGGGGTTAACCACCCCCTTATGTTCATACATTATCAGAAATGTAGGATCCACCCCCCCTACTCCTGAACCAGTTGGGGTCGAGGATCCTAAAACCCTAAATCCTGAAAACCTAAAGTTAAAATCGCTGCGTATAGCCTGTGGTTTCATTCATCCTTTGGTGACAAGTAAATGATATTGCTTGGGTGTGTTATTTGGGGTGGGCAAACGTGGGGGTGTGGAGGGAACATGTTTAATTCCTGGAGGGTACTCATTTGTTTTACCAAAATGATTGGGGGCAAAGTCCCAGTTTGCCTTCGGCAACAGTGTCTGCACGAAGAACATGTTATCCTTAAAGGTTGTATGGGAAGAGGATGTTGATTGATAGAACTTAAGTAGAAATTGGTTGGGAAGATCATGTTTCACAAAAAAAGTAGGCCGTTCTCGGGTTACTTTGTTAAATTCCCACTATGATTCATGTTTGTTTCCTGGCAGTCCATTATATGCCAACTGTCAGCAGTTACATCCTACAGTTTATCTCAATCTTCCGGATATCAAGCAAATTCAAGCAACAGCCCCTTCGTTCGATGACCCCATCATGATAGAACGTTCGGATTTGCCCAAACAAAATCTCCGTGGTTCTTGCAGCCAAATGGATCAATTGAGGTGGTCAGCTTTGAAGGAGATTATCACTTTGATATCCACAGGATTCATCAATGGATACCAATTTTGAGAGAATACAATCCCAATTTATCTTGGTGATATCTGACAGTATTCAGTATTATTCAATCATCACATTTCACCATGATACCCTCATGTTTCAATAACCCACAACCATCATTTTTCAAGAAAATCCCCAGAGTTCATCAAAATGCTGATGATATTTCAACATTATTTGTCCATGAGATCATCAATTCATAACATTTTCGATGCTTACCCTTTGGTAAACTAATGAAGAATAACCATTTTTTACAGGTAAATCATCCAACTGAATGGCTTCTGTTCCATAGCCATGTTAGTTTGGAGAGTTAAACCATTATTATCCCATAAACATCCCATACATTTATATCACATCCCATTATTATTCCATATATATATATATATCCATATATCCATATATATATATATATCCATAATATATGTCCCATTTATCCCATAGATATCCCATAAAAATATGCCCATAAAAATTGGTGATTTTCCGGAACGGTGCCATCATCCCGGACCGTCAAGGCCTTGGTGCAACATGCCTTGGCCGAGAATCGCTGCCTGCAGCGCAAGGCGGACAACGTCACGGTGCTCGTAGCAGCTCGGTGGTGTCCATCGATGGGTTTAGGGGCCATGGTTGGAAAATCACCAATGTTTATGGGATATTTTTATGGGATAAATGGGATATATATATATATTATGGATATATGGATATATGGATATTTTTATGGGATATCACTATGAGATATATAAATGGTTTTATTCTGCTGAAGAAAGGTTTGGGTAGTTGTTTTGAGACTACACTGCAACAAATAGTGAATTTAGTGCAGGCTTTCCTGAATTGAATTGGCGTTGAAGTTCTTAACATTAGTACGTAACATGGCTGCAAAATGCTGTTTTTTTTGTGCAACTGGTTTTGAGATTTCATGTCACGGGGTGATGGGAACCTATGGGAACCTAATAAGAGATCCAGGAACGGCCGGTCCAGAGGATTTCTTCATGATTCCGTTGGGTTTAGGGTTTGCCGAAACACTTTGCCTTGGCATAGAATCATTTAAAATCCCTGATTTTTGACCCAAAAAACCGGTGGTTGGTGAAGCGGCTTGATGATTTTTTGAGACCTGATTTTCCCATGTTGGACAGCTGAGGTTCTATTCAGTGAAGGCTTAAACTGAACATAAGGATATAAAGGAGACCTCTGCAAAGATCAGCGGAAGAGGATAAACTGAACAACGGTCCCGGTCGATGCCAATGCCCATTCCAACTGAGTTTGAAAATGGTACTTGACGACCTAAATGGGTTTGTTGAAAGATGGATTACTAGATTACACTAGAAATTCTATGGCAATCATAGGAAAACGATGATCTCAGAAGTCCGATTTTTCCGACAAACCCACATAGAAAACGATGCTTCCATGCCGGTACAAAAGCGGCTCGCCATATTCTGCCTGCCCTGTGCGGCGCGGTTATTTTTGCGTCGAAGCAAGTCTGTCCCAGGGGAAGATTTGGACATCGTGGCCGTTGGAGGTAGAACATCAACTTAGTCATTTCTATTGATGTCGCTTAAGAATGGTCAAGAAAATGTCAAGAAATACTTTGAAATAGTTAGAAACTTGGGGAAAAAGTATGAGAATGATCACATCAATAGCCATATTCCTTGATCCCAAATTGCAAAATCAATCGCAGTTTCAATTGCGGGCAGCAGCGTTTAGTATGTGGATGGAAGAAACTGCACAGGTCGGAGCAACAAGTCTCCGAGTCTCGGCTAAATGTGTTCCTGCCGACAGTCCTCCTTTCAATGACTGTCTCCGTGCACAGTGCAGTGCACCTAAAGTCAGGGGATGCTATTGGATGATCAAAAAAAACTTGAACATTTCAGGATTGGAGATTAAATATATTAAATATGAAGATATGTATACACATGCATAATCATGGGAGAAATGTTAGGATGAAGTTTCAATCTGAGCATTTTTGTTGGGGATCGGTAGCACTGATAGCACTGATCTATTGATATAGCCCCAAGCCCTAGTGAAAAGGAGGCTTGGTTGGACAAAGACTGGCGATGCGAAAAGTGCCAAAGGGTCAGCCGGGTCAAGTCACGGTCAGGCCCAATCCGCAGAGATCTTTGGTGAAGATGTTTGTTGAAGCAGTAAGGAAAGGAACCGAATACAGTATTCTCTTGGGTCATAAACATCCCAATTTTATCTGTTTTTTTTTGTGGTGACTGTACCGTACGTAGCTCCACCTCTCTTAGGAGTTGCCATTGGTCCCTCAAGAAATCTACTGCTTGGATCTCGTTGGATTTGCTTCCATTTCTGGTTGGATCCAGCTTCTCATCTTGGTTGAAATGATGATCCAACCATTGGCAAGTTGTTTGTTATGGGTAAAAAACCACCAAGCGACTAGTTGACTAGTTCTGTATGTCAGAGTTAAGATGTAAGCTAACAACCTAGAGGTGTTCAAACCTTTTCTGGCAGCTGGGTCATGAAAAAGGGACGATTTTTATGTTTATACAGAAATGGCGTATAGAGATGTATAGAGTATCTCCCGACAAAAGACCAGGTTCCAACGAAAAATTGCTAGACATGGAAATAATTCATCAATTTGTTGGCATACCCTCTGGTAAGCTAACATAGCTATGGAAAATCACCATTTTTAATGGGAAAATCAACTATAAATGGCCATTTTCAATAGCTATGTTAAATTACCAGAGGGCACCCCAATCTTTAGTCAATAACTGCAGCTCTGGAGTTCCCTATCGCACTTGGGAAGGTTGGGCAGCAGCTTGAGGTGACGAGGTCGGAAGCTTGGTTCGCCGTTCGCCAGTTGTGTCGGCCTCCTATTTAATAGGTACTGTGGATCACAACGAACGAACGCATGATGTCAATGGCCATTTCAGGAACCGATTTATTGGAGGTACCTATTATATATAAGGCCTATACAAGGCCTATGTAGGGGAATATCCCATTGATGATGTTCAAGTTGATGTTCCAATTACTCAAAGAGGTGTGTGTTGGGCCTGCGGCCTGCCTTTTTTTGAGGATATATAATATATATCTGGTTTCTCTGTTCCTAGCGTCCTAGCGTCCTGGTTTTGTTTCTTCGCATGTCGCAAAACACCTTAAATAATTAGGCCATGTTTGAATAGGTCATCTCCCATGACCCAGAGATGGGTTCAAAAAACCATCAAAAACTGTGGCTTCATGGCGGTTTGCGGAAAAAAAAAACAAAAAACGGGCTCGATCATCTTGATCACTGTCGAAGTTGTGCCATATTCAGAATCCGCATTCTGCCGCATTATCGGTTGACAGTTCACTTGTTTGACAATTACAGATTCAGGCAACAGACTAAGAAGGTCCCCTAGATCTTATCCCCATTTGACGATGGTTGATTTTCTGTTTGGTGGTGTTTAAACCCCGATTACCCCACGTGGATGATGGCTATACCCAAATGTCCCAGAATTGGAGAAGAAAATGCACGGGAAGCCTTATGTTTGATGGTAAAAGATCAGGCTTTCCAGAAAAATGCAGCTTTCAGCAACTCAATGACCATGCGACCATGCCAGCTTGTCCCCAGTTATTCCATGTTCATCAATGTTCCCCATTTCTTCCATTTTTTCTCTCCATTTTTTCTCTCCAATTCGACCATCCTTTTCCCCCCATATCCCTCATTTTCATCCACCATGGCCGCAATTCAGCGCCATGCCGTGGCACCAGTGCCACCAGTGCCACTACTGGTGGCACCGCCGCCGAGACTGCCGCACACGAGGCGGATCGGTGACTGTGGAGCTGGGATGATGTACCGCAAGGATATATGAAGCGAACTGGGGAATATATGGGTATGGGTCAATACCTATAGATACATTTTTAGTGGGATGAACATCCATAAATCCCAGCTATTTTGATGTGAACTACAGGGGTACCAGGTTTTGACACACTGCCATATCGG